AGTGCCAGCCAGCCCAGTGCACACACTGCACAGCAACCTAGCACTGTCGACTCCGTCTCACACCGTACGCACACCCCTCAACCCGAATGGCAGGACGTCCAAGCAAAGCGTTTGCGCAGGGCTCAGCGTTCAAGCACACCCGTAGAAGGCAATACTAATATGCAGACATCCTTGATCACCAAGCGCGAGGAGAAGTCCCGCTACACAAACGAAACACCCCCCGCCGGTGGTCATGTTGCTGAGTTGACGGCAGCGCCCCGGGCAAAGCGTAAGGTCTTTTATATTGGGAACGTGCAACCTCACTGCTCCGCATCATCTATTGCTAAATGGTGCTCCGATCATGGGGTCGACATAGTGCAATGCGTCGTCTATGCATCAGCCTACTTCAGGACTGCATTGCACGCGTGACTGTGGAGGCAGCCGACGAGGAGAAAGTAGCCAATAAGGCATTCTGGCCTGACATGCTTTCCCACACCATCCGACCCTGGCGCTTCAAAAGTGACAGCTTTGGCACCAGCACAAACGATGTCGCAACAGCTAGCGAATGATGGCCAATTCCCACCTAAATCCACTGGCTCGGCCCTACTACCCGCGCTGCCAGGAAAAGCTAAACTTGTTCTCCATTAACTGCCGCTCCGTTCTCAACAAGTCCGCAGAATTGTCGGCTATTGCCGAGATCCACAGACCTGACATTATCTGCCTCAGTGAAACCTGGCTAGCTCCAAGTGTCGCTCTTAGTATCTCTCTGGATACACCACCTTTCGGCGTGATCGACCTCCTAACGAAAACAAGTCTGGTACCGCCTCCAGGGGATATGGTGGAGTCGCTATTCTCGTTCGTGATCATCGTTTCAGTTGTATCCAACTTCGCAACGACCTCAGTCGTCCTACCTGTGAAACAGTGTGGGTGGAGCTTAAACCTTGTTCCGGCTCCCCAAAGCCTATTATTGTCTGTAGTGCCTATCGCCCACCCTCTGCCAAAAGCACAGAGATAAATCACTTCTGTAACATGCTCACCGATGCCCTGGTCACTATCCCCATGTCCTCGTACCACGTCATACTGACTGGAGACTTCAACTGTAAGCACCAGCACTGGTGCCCAACTGACTCAACGTCCCCCGCGGGAGCTGCGCTCTACCGCCACCTCACCTGCTTCGGACTAGAGCAGCTTGTGAATACCGCAACGCACACAACACCTGCAGGGACCCAGTCGTGCTTAGACCTTCTCTTCGTCAACAACCCCCAGCTTGCAACGGATATTAACACGACTTGCGCTCTTGGATCCTCGGATCATCTGACCGTGTCATGTCGGTTCGAGCTCTCACCATCGCCTGGCCAACATTTGCAGCAAGCACCACGCAAACATTTCCCTTACCGCTATCGTCATGTCCCCTCTCACTGCTGGGACTCTCTTAATTCCGATCTCTCTCATTGTGACTGGTCATTTCTACGCCCAGGCAATTCCCCAACTGTTGACGACGCAGTCGATCGATTTTCAATCGTCCTGGAACAAACCTTCCAGCACCACCTCGCTGATTTTTCCACCCATTCTTGTCGGTCAAACACACGCACATCGTCTGTGACATCCAATCCACCCTGGGTGTCGACTGTCCTCGTATCTGCGGTGAAACGTAAACGAGACCTCTTCAGTGTCAGCCGAAAATTTCCAACACCTGTCAATATGGAGGCCTACCGAGTTCAACGCAACTTTGTCAAATACCTATCCCGTAAAACCTACCGCTCTTACATCAGCTCCCTCTCTGCAACAATCTCATCACCCAATCGTCCTTCTCTCTATCAGTTCATTCGCACCCAGCGTCCCAGTGTCTCTCGCGCCCCAATTCAGTGCTTGATTGATCCTGATGGCAACCGTCAGTCTGAGGCAAAGTCCATTGCGGACACTCTGAACAAACAGTTTGTCTCTCCCGGCCTTCCACTTCTGGAGGTCTTTACAACAACTGGTGTGGTCCGCAAACAACTGAAACGTCTTAAGAGCTGCAAGTCTCCTGGAAAAGACGGTATTCCAAATGAAGTCCTTAAACTGCTGGTGCCTTCCTTGTCGTATCCCCTGTGCTTGCTCTTCAACTTGTCATATCGTGCAGGAGTCTTCCCATCTGCGTGGAAATCTGCTATTGTTGTCCCGATCTTTAAGAAAGGACAACGCTCCCAAGCTGTTAATTACAGGCCCATCTCCCTCCTACCAACTATATCCAAGGTCTGTGAACGCATCTTCTATGAATCTCTCTACCACCATGTCACCCCTGCCCTCTCCTCTGCACAATCCGGCTTCTGTCGTGGCGACTCAACTACTTTGCAATTGACACGCTTAATCCAGGATATTTACGGACATCATAACCTGAAGAAGCATGTAGGTCTTGTCTTTTTTGATCTGTCAAAAGCGTTTGATACAGTCTGGCATCGAGGCCTACTTGCAAAGCTTGAGCACATTTTCCTAGTACGTGGTACAGCTCTGCAGTGGCTGTCGTCATATTTGTCGTCCCGTCATCAAACTGTCCGTGTCGCTGCTTCCTTGTCCGATCCTTTACCTGTAGTGTCTGGTGTTCCACAGGGGTCCATACTGGGTCCACTCCTTTTCCTAACTTATGTGAACGATCTGCCCTCTCTAGTTCCAGACGTCAGCCTTTTTGCTGATGACACTGCACTGTTGTGCTCTGACAGCTCGCCGTCCAACCTCGTTACCTCCATGCAGACCGGCATTAACTCCACCATAGCATGGATGGAAGCTTGGAAGCTGAGGCCCAACATCGCGAAGACCGAAGCAATGTTCATCAGCCCATCGCCGCCTACTCAGCCGTTGCACTTTCCAGGAGCCAATGCTAAGGTTAAAATTGTTCATGAACACAAACACCTTGGTGTTATATTCGACAGCCATATGTCCTGGCCCCCACAGGTCCAGTCAGTATGCAAGCGAGCTAGCTCCTCCCTTGGCATGTTGCAACCTCACTGCCACCATTTAAATGACCATTGCCGAAAATTGTTCTTTACGTCGTATATTCTACCTATATTTGATTACTGTGACACAGCGTGGTGCGGTCTGTCTCAGGCCCTTGTTCAAACTCTGGAAATACACCAGCGTCTGCTTCTAAAAATCCTGTTTCGCAAAAATCAAACATTCTCCTCCCAACGTCTCTACAGTTTAGCTTCAGTATCTCCCCTCTTAGAGCGACACCAGCAACATCTTTGCATCCTTGTACACATGATCTTGTTAGACCTGGCTCCCAAACACTTTGCTAAGTATAACTGGTTTGTGTCCACCAGATCAACACGTCATTTCTTCTCATTACCCCGTGCCAATACCTCCCTGTTTCTGAAATCTCCTATCTTCTCTGCGTACACTCTCTGGTCTTCCCTGCCAACTAGCCTTAAAGCATGCACAGACATTAAGGAGTTCAAGCTTCAGCTTCTTCGTCCTGAATAATCTCACCATTTTCGTCATGCCTCCCCTTGCAGTACTCTCTTTGTTTCTCTCCTTATTATTCAGTTCGCCGTGGTTGGCTACCACCCGACTTCTCATATATATTGGCAGTCTTCTGACGAGCCAGGAGATGTTGAATTAATAATAATAATAATAATGATAATAATAATAAGTCAACGCTAATATGTGGAGCAAACCAAGAGATGAGGGCGATACCCATCCATGGCAAACTTACAAGTGTTTAATACTGCATTTTATTGATTATTTTTTTCAGCTCCCTCTAGGGCTCCAAATATAACTCATCTTTATCCAAGTGCACAAGAAATCAACATCTCCTGGACTGCTATCAGCCTCCTGGACTTTAATGACCGATCACAAGGGTATATGGTTTCTTATCGTGCGGACCATAGCATCAACGTCAGTACTGTACATAGTGAGCTTACGAGTATCACTATCAATGGTTTGACTGCTGGTACAGTGTACACTCTGTCCATTGCTGCGACATCTTCTGCTGGTGTTGGCCCGTCAACGTCAATAACAACTTCAACTGTGCAGGAGAGACCTATCACTATGACGACTATGGAGGAATGCATGAGTATGGTTGTTACTACTGGAAGCTCACAACAAGGTATGGTTTTACTTCCTTTGATTTTGACTTGTTTGTGTTCACGTGTCGTGCTTATGACAGCGCGTGCGCACGTGTTTGTATGTAGAATGTGTCTGAAGTGGTACAATAGTGTGCGAAGGTTATTTCCAAAAGCTGTAGATTCAATTCCCGGTAATTGGGATCCGAATTGTCTTATTCTCCTTCTTATTCTGTTCCTGCCTTCTTTCAGTCTCCTTGGAGTTTACCAGCATACCATGTATGCCTGTGTGCTTGATCCGATGTGGATGTGTATTTATGAAAGAAGGAAAAGTGGAGATAAAAGAAGAAGACACAAAGACAGACAATTATGGGCCCGCTGTCCAGAACCACGACTTGTGATATACTTCAAGAGTTGCGGTTAATAATATTAGTCAGAGGTGATTTGGAACCATTCAGAAGCAAGTGGAAGTAATCAAGTGCTACATTTCCGCAACAAAGTACTTCGGACTTTCGTACGCACACCCGGTGTTCCTTGAAACGTACACGGCAAAAAGTGTTGGACAAGGAGTTCTGGCCCGAGGATTTCACGGCGCGGAAGTGGTATTGGGAGACTGATCGAGTCGCCCACGGTTCCAATCAGTAAACATGTGTCCTCTAAACCCACTCGCACCACACCGTTCACCCCCAGATCACATCCTCCATCACCAATATCTCTACTCAGTAATTATACTAATCATAACATCAATATCGGTCATTTAAATGTGCGTAGCCTCAGACATAAAATCCCTGAAATTCAATCCCTCATCTCCGACCATTCCCTGGATGTTCTCGTTATTACTGAAGCAAAACTCGATCTGAAGGCAGCGTACACGCAGATGGAGGTGGACGACGAGTCAAAGCCCCTGCTTGCGCTCAATACCCATCTGGGTCTGTTTCGACTCAACCGTCTCCCATACGGGATCGCGTCTGCTCCAGCGCTATGGCAACGAGCCATGATTCTCTGCTACAAGACCTGCCAGGCGTTAAGTGCATGATCGATGACATCATCGTCACTGGCCGCACACCGGAGGACCACCTCAACACGCTGATGAAGGTGCTCCAACGTCTCGCTTATGCGGGCCTCAAACTCAACCTGGCCAAATGCCACTTCTTTCAGCCGAAAGTGGAATATTGCGACCACGCCATCAGCGCACAAGGCCTGCATACGATGCCGAGCAAGGTTGATGCAATTGTGATGCTCCACCGCCGGAGAACGTGCCGCAAGTACGCAGTTTTCTGGGGCTCATCACCTACTATCACGGACCACCAGCCGTTGGTATCAATCTTCCACCCGAGGAAAGGCCTGCCTGCTATGACCGTAGCACGTCTTCAATGCTATGCGATGTTCCTGGCCGGACATGACTACACGATCATGTACCGCCAAGCAGACAAGCATTGCAACGCCGACGGATTGTCACGCCTGCCAGTAGGAAATCCTCCGGCACCAGATACGGCAGAGAAAGCGGTCAACATGTTCTACATGGACCAATGCGAACCACTCCCAGTGACAGTGGAGCAGATCAAGGAGGCAACAGCCAGCGACCCGCTATTGCCAGAGGTCCATCGCTATGTGCTCCAAGGTTGGCCGAAGTCGGGCCCAAGAGCAGAGCTACAGCAGTACTTCCAACGCCGCAACGAGCTTAGCGTTAGCAACGAGTGCTTGCTATGGGGCAATCGCGTCATCATTCCGCCGGACCACCGGAAAGCTGTCCTGACAGAGCTTCATGAAGGCCATCCAGGAATGGTACGAATGAAGGCGTTGGCCGAGAAGCATCCTCTGGTGGCCGGGCTTGGACGGCGACATAGCAGACGCAGTCAAAGCATGCCTCGGATGCCAAAGTGTCCAGAGCGAACCTGCTGCAGCACCAGTGCACCGATGGAGCATGCCACGTCAGGCGAAATAGCACGTCATAGTACATTCGAGATCAGCGGGAAGAAGATGACGACGTCCACTAATTTAGTATCTGTGCACACGATTCTGCTGTGTGTGTTACTCTGTGTGTCAGCTATGGCATCATCGCCTGTGGTTCCATGCCTAGCATGTACGTCTGAACCATCCTACAAAGTTTGAATGACGTAGGTTGAGCGATCGCTCCGCGAAACATACTTTTTGAAATTCTCTTCATAGTATATCTTCCACCATTGAAATTTCGAATTTCTTCGAATTTTTTGCTGAGAGGGGTGGCTTGCAACCTCGATATGGCTTGTTCCCGGCACGCTTTGGAGCCATCGCCTGTTGAAACAGTGGCGGGAAGCTGCCCTGCAACTGTTCCAGCAGGAAATTAATCGATCCGAGAAAAGCGCGAGTCCGCGAATCTCGGTTGAATATTGAGTATTTCAAGCCTTTTCACGACGAAGATGGAGTTCTTTTTGGAGATGGACGTCGCGACAAAGGACATGGTGTCCGACTTCTGGCGTCTGGTGAAGCCAGGGATCATTTGTCCAGTCAGGTCGGCAGCCTAACCGTCGGTAAGCTTGTGTTTGGATCCCGTTCTGCTCGATGTGGTAGATCACAAACAATTTGATATCGCACAAATTGATCTCAGCATCGTGCGTACGGTATTTTATATTCAGAAAATCCCAAAGTGTCTCTGTGTGGCCGTCCTATGCCACGAGAAACTCCAATCAGGCTCCTATGTCCTCTGCCTTGATGATTGAATGTCCACTTCGTTTGAACAACGAACACAACAATCGAGGACGGCTTTGCAATGAAAAATACAGCTATACTAGAGCTGAAAAAAAGAAGAAAAAAACGGGCTCAGGATGAGACTCGAGTACACGGCATACTCTCCCAGCAGGTGAAACGCAAATTTTGTGAAAAATGCGTGACGCCGACTGACCAGTAATTTCGCCTGACGGACCGCGCGTGGCAGCGCGTCCGCGTAGATTACCTTGGTCCATTGCGGCAAACGATGTGGCTCGTCATTGTCGATGCCCGTTCAAAATGGCCCGAAGTCATTCCGATGCCTTCCACAACGTCTTTGGCTACCATCGCAAGTCCCAGGACAGTATTCGCCAGATATGGTTGCCCAGACCTCATCGTCAGCGACAATGGTCCACAATTTGCATCTGCAGAGTTTGCCGAGTTCCTCGCCTCGAACGGCATCGCTCACAGACGCTCAGCGCCGTATCATCCAGCGACGAACGGCCAAGATGAAAGGTTCGTCCAGACCTTTAAACGGGCAATCCAGGCAGTACCACTGTCAACGCCTGCACAGATTGCTGCTGACCGGTTCTTGATGAGCTACCGCCGAGGAGTCCATCCGGCTACAAACGCAACGCCTGCGAAGCTGTTCCTAGGCCGTCAGCTACGATCATGTCTGGATTTGTTGCGACCGTCGACGGCACAACAGAATGCCAAGACGCCCACCGAAGAGCCTGCTGGCAAGGCACGATCCTTCGAGGTTGGAGGCGCCGTTCTAGCACCCGATTACCGGAACGCCAACCATCCCGGATGGATTCCAGCGACCATAGTCGAGAAGCTTGGGTCTCGTACGTACATGATTGTCACCAGCCAAGGCGCACAGTGGAAGCGACACCCGGATCAGCTACGTGCGGGACACCCGTCCTTCCTAGTTGATGAGCCGACACGATCTGTGGCTGCACCGTGTCTCCCTCCAGCACAGCACCCGATCGCAGCAGAAGCACCCGAGCCTGAGCCGGCTGCAGTGCCACAACAGCACGAGGCTGACGCTACCGAAGCCTCACCGACTCCGACTCTACGCCGATCGCTGCGGACACGCAAGCCAGTGTCTCGCTTGGGCCTGTAGAAAGTAGAAACAACCCCGGTCATGTTGACCATGTCGGAACTACACCTCACTGTATGCTCGTGTTTCTCTGTCTCAATCTTCATCTTGACGTTTACGATCTTTACTCTAGTCCCAGAAGTATGTTCCATTTTAGAAGGGAGGACTATGGTGTTTGTAACCACAGACATTGTGAATCACCTGATGGCCAGACTATTGTTGGTAATACTAGACCTTTTGGAAGTGTCCAATGACCGCACTTGGCATTCATCCATTCATGCATGCTAGCTATCTCGTGTGTTTGGACTACCTCCATTATCTTCATTTTATATTGCTCTACTCTGTATTATTCAACCAGTTGCGTACTGGATAAGTGAACTACGGTTGTGCTTTGTTTTTGGGTGTTGTGAGTCACGGACTAAAACACTACACATTGGATGCCTGAACTGGTCGGCTATGCGATGAACTGTGAATGTATTGTTTTTATTTTTTTTAATAGCATCAAATGGAAAACTGCTGTACACCATGGTTAATGAAACTGTCTTTGTGTTTGGCAATGTGAACTTCAATATTTGCATATAAACTAACACTATCGGCACCCAGACAAGTTGAACTTGTTCGATTGTGGATGAGCTTTGGGTGTAAATCCACTTCAATGCTGGGGTTCCATTCCCTTTCCCAGGAGTCAAACTCAGCCAAATTGGGAGTTTAGTGTATCTCTCTTGTTGCCGCAATGCCTTTCACAGGCACAACAAAGTCTGAGTGGTGGTCCAATGGCTTTCACTATGGAGAGGATCTTGGTTTAAAAGAAGACACTGGTTCACACAATATACAGAATGTGATTGATGAGGTACAATAGTGTAATCGCTACTGACATACGATTTGAATACCTCAAACTTAGAAAACTAGTTTATGCCATACTCCATACACAAGATATCCAGCGACGTCATGCGTATACAATGTAACAGTACAAGTTGCAGGATGACGGCATTGTCAGGGGTAGACTTGAGCAACGTACATACCATACGGCAGACTGTGAAATGAAGAACATGCATGACCAGTGAATGCTGGACAATACCTCAGTATCAGTATTCCTGAAAGGTAGGACCACTCCTCAAGCTTTCGACTTCTTCTGGTGAGCTGCCTTGCGGCATTCAGGGCAATGCCAGCTCTAACCGGGCTTCTTCTTGAGACCTAGGCACTTCACATGGAAGAAGCGGCGAGTGCAATCAGTACTAGCACACTTCGCTACATCACCGGCCTCTTTCCCGTCCCAGTAACAACCACCCGGCGATGACAATGTAGTCTTCGGCAGACCCACTGTGGCTGAAGCGCCCGCTGCTGCTGGTGGTTCGTCAGGTAAGCTATCAAAGTTCTTTGAATACCATTTAGCGGCTAGTTCCGGTAGTACTCCGAGTTTGTAGAAATCTACAACGGCCTCCAAGGCTTCAGCCATAAACGGCGCATCAGGAAGTATGCGCTCCAGGTGCAGCTCTTCCTTGTTCCAGACTATGAAGTCACAGTGTCTGGCAGCGCAGACCTTCAGCTGGAGCTGGACCTGATAGTAGTAAGCA